GGGAACAAGTGCATAATAAAGAGAAAATACTTACTATAAACAGCAGTTAGCTATCTTATTTGATAAAGGCATTTTTGAGTAAGGCAAAGGGGCTTTGAAGGTTGTGTTTATTGAACAACATGCACACAAACAGATGTGTATATACTCTTTTTTACTTGCTAGGGATTTTTACTCCCAAAGTAAACAACCCAATTCTAAATTCAGATGATAAATAGAGAGACCTTAACTGCACAAAATAAACAGATTCTGCTCTTTTGCTCCTTCAACAGCTGAGTCTCACTCCAATTTTTCTTCTCCCTCTAACTTTATCTAGATTCCCAGTTGAGGGAGCCAATGACCTAAATCTGCTGAGTTCTAATGCAACACGGGAGCAAATTCTGAATATCTCTGCCTGCTTGCTGGGATTGCATAGCTCCAAAGTCATTATCCTCCTCCAGAGGTAATCCGATGATCAGCTCTAACACCACTCACCAGCCCTTCTATCAGCTTGTTGGAAAAGCATCTTTACCTCCTGTCAAGCAGTGACTTGAAAGGTTTAATCCAGTCTATATTTTCAAGGTCAAATGGGTACAATGCTATCTATCTTGGGCTAAGAGAAAAGGAAAATTGCTTGCCGTAAATCTTAGATTTCTGGTTTTTTTCCCCCTGTCCCATTCCCCATTCTCTTGGTCCCTCAAGATATTTTAAAGGCTCACATGGGATTTATGGGCTTTTCAACATTATCTCAAAGTTTTAACTCTTATCCTCAAGACCCATTGCCCACTTTTCTCAATTTTTATATTGAATGATTATCAAGGCAAAACTTTCCAAGTTCCCAACCTAACTAACAAAGACATCCTACACCAGGAATTTATTGATTTTCTCCAAACTGGCATTACTCAATGATCAAAATAAAATGCATAAGTAAAATCGTGGCCAATTTGCATATCCTCTTCAAAAAAATTTTTTAAAAACCTAACTATTTTTACCCTATAACTGTAACATGCATTTATTTTTAATAATGTCTCAGTTTTACATAACCATATATTCAAGGTCTCTGTCATTCAAGGTACGTGAAGGTTGCACATTTAATCTTTAGCATGGTTATAGAAGATATGATTCGCAGAGTAGAGAATACATAAAAATAAGCATGCAGTACCATGGTGCCAAATCATCAGAACTCACTATCTTATCAACAAATGGAAGTCATTCCTCTTTATTTCTTGAGCAAAACAGTTTTGTATAAGATAAATAGCCCTCAGTCAGAACAGTCTAACATGCAGTATGCATCTTTTTGACATGTATATTCTAATACTACTTTAGAGCATAGATTAAAATAAAAAAAATCTCAGGATTGTGTGTTGACAAAAAACATTGGTTGAATCTGCATTTTTTCCATTTTTCATTTCCAAGAATTCGGCTCTGGTTGTGTATATTCGTACATTACTGGCTATTATTAAGCGATCAACTTCTAGTGACCTTCAAGTACCATTTTCTAAAGTTTTACATTGGGGAATAATTTCTGGGTCTTGTACCTTTTTTATATCAAACAGTAAAAGTCACCTCGTGCTTTGGAGATACTGTGTTTTGTTTTCAGAGACCGGGATAGAGTAGAACATGTTTCTAATAGGTTTAGGAGATTGGGTCCAAGATTTTCAAGCTTGAGAAAGCCACTGAGCTACTGGGGTTTTAGTTTTCCCATCTTGAAAAGAAAGAATGTGGGCCAGGTGGTTTTTTAAATTACACCCAGCTATTGTATTGAGTACTCGATAAATCATTATTCTTTTGTTAGCATAGCAAGTAGACAGGGGATCAGGGAGGTGGAATGAAGAAATTACGTGGCACAAGCCTTTGGCACTGGACCTGTGTTCCTTCTGTGGGTCACTGCAGAGCACTATTTTATCACTGACAGCGTGGCTCACTGAGTTCCTGGCCCCTTCTATTCACCAACCCTGTTGTGAGGCAGCTTCTGTGTCACCCCTCTCAGGGAGTCATGCTGCTGCCAGGTTTCAGTTCTCACTTACATATTAACTTCCACTTTCTGAGATGGTAAACTGAACTGAAGCCTTAAAGAAACTTGGTGAAGTAGCAGAAAATTTAAATTTTCATACATTCATTGCTCATGTTTACCAGTTTGCACATATAAAAGATGGAACTTAAAGTTTTATGCTAGACTGCCTTTGATTAAAACCCCCAGCTCTGCTACTTAATCTAGCTGTTTGATCTCTTTGAAATTCTTTGAATTATTTCCTCATCTGGAAATTGGGCAAAATACCTACACTTGTAGTATTGTAGAAGAAAAGCAATTATTTACATGTTCTAAAAAAATAGGCTTCTCTCTCCGTGTACTTCATGGTCAAAGTATTTTGGAGAGTACTGGCAATGACACTGAATGCTATCAATACAGGAAATCTACAGAATCTATCTCTTAGCCAAACCTTATTTAGTGAGACACCATGTCTTGGAAAGACAAGAAGTGGACAAAATTGCCTCATTTACCTGGAAGATATCACTACATCAGTTTACGCTGATCAATTTTGTTTGGGCTTGTACTGTTGAGTAAATTGGCTACTTTCTTAAGTCTGGCCTTTGTCTGACTCTGTGACCCCATCTCCCTGTCTTTTTCATCTCCCAGCCCCCACAACTTCAAAGAAAGCATATGAAAACCTAGGCCTAATGATGAAATCAGTTCTGCTGGCGTCATGTTAGTCACGCATATGAAAGTTCTTGGAAAAGGATGAAGCAAACACATGACGGCAAATAAGAACAAAGTAAGCAATGTTTTCTTTAAAAGTCAGTTAATTCCTACTGGATAAAAAGCCAGTGTACAGCAAACATTTGCCCTGCTCCAATTTTGCGGGTCTTATGAGAGATGGTATAGGATACTCCACAAAGGGACAGTCACAGGGCCTGGGTCTTAAATCCAGCTTTCCTCTGTACTCATAGTATTAGAAGGTACAGCACAGTTTCACAAACACTGAGGTTGGAATTCCAACTCTACAATTCACTAAGTGTGTGAGCTGAGACGAGTTACTTATCTCCATTTCTCATAAATGGTGACAGTACTACCTAACTCACAGAGCTGTGGGGAACACTAAAGAAGATAATAAATGTGAAGCCTTTGGCCCAAAGTTTTGCTCAGAGCACATACTCAATAAGTGAGAGAGAAAATTAGAGCCCCCCCGCCCTTCTTTTCTTCACAAAACGCTCCTGGTGGCAAATTTGGCATGCCCCGAGCTCAGGGTGTGTGAGCCTGACCAGATTTAAGAGAAAGCGTGTTCCGGATGGGTAATGGGAAAAACAAAAGCTATCCTATCGTTACAAACCCCAGTTGGTATAACTAGTATTCTGCCACAAGTGCATCTGCATGTATTATTCCATCTTCAGTTTATACTTACAAATACAAAACCATCTCAGATAATAAAAGTGAGTGCTGAATATTTTTGCAAGCTTTTATAACATTTTGAAAGAGTACTATAAACAAGTACAAGATGTGACTATATGGTAATGAAATGAATTTTTCTATGTGGTGCAGAGGCTCATTAGCTTAGAGCCATGCTTTGTGTTGTTCTACAGAAGCCATGTGTGACATTTTTCACTAATGGCTCGTGCTGTCACTAAATGTCTGTCTCTAACTCCCTCAGTCTTAGGGAATGCAGGCATCCACTTGCGTGTAAATTAATAGCTCTGCAGAACCAAAATGAGGTACCAAGAAAATGCCTTTTATTTCCTGAGTTCAATAAGGCAAAAAGTTTCTCTTTCCAATTATAGATTTGACCACAGTTGTTGTTTCCAAATATATATGAAAATACTTACTTTATGGGAAAGAATACTTTATATGATTCTCAGTCAATAAAACCAGGGCTTTGTTTTTAATGATTTCATTATTTGCATTAAACTGTGATTATCGGCCAAGGAGAGGGTAGATGTGTACACTTACCATCTTCATCAAGGAGATTTTCAGCAGCTGATAGTAACCTCATCCTGTCTTCTGGGTTTTCAATGTTTAATTCAATGAGATGACTCTCTTTTATATCCTTTAAATCTTCTAGGGTCTCATAACCATTGAGCAAAAGTGTTGAGGTATATTCCTGTGGGGGAGGAAAAAATACATATAATAAAAGCTAGTAAAGTTCAAATAATTTATTTTTAGTTTTCTTAAGATTTAAGGAAAGTGTAGAAATGCATATGGAAGCCAAAGGTGCCAATATAACTTTTGCTTAACTATATTTTACTTATATTACTTTTCTGCATATAATCTCTAAGGCACTTAAAAGATTATGCTATAGAGTTCTCACCTTCTGGAAGGACAAATATAAAGAATTACCTTAATCTATACAATGCTAAATCATGGATCAATTAAATAGTTGGATCATTCATCCCATTTCGCATTTTTTCACTTCTCAACCAGCTAAACTGATAATTTGTATTTCCTTAAGACTATCAATAAAATGCCTCTAACAGAGTATATTATAGTAATATTTCTGTATTACGTCTTCTTGTTTGCTTGATTGCAAAACAGCATCTCATTGACTTCTTCAGATAGGTTAAAAAATGAATTTGAAACAGACACAATTCTATATTAAAAAGTGGATTTAGCCTTTTGTTCGAAAAGCGTCATATAAACCTAAGAAATCCCAGACTTTCTATTTAGTTAAAAGACTTTATTAAGCATAAAAGCACTCTAGTTGAGAAAAGTATTGTTTCCTTTTCTCAGCATGTATATTTTGTCCATCATTTGCATGAATATATGTTAGTTTAAAATGCAAAGGCTTCTGATTTCATAGTTTGTATGTTATTATAAAACCTCTGTTCTCTCTAACATAATAAGAATGTAAAGTAAAGTTGAATGCTTTTTCAACTTCCTCAAAAATTCCTCCCTTTCTACTTAATCACAATTTCAATTTCCTTACTTTAGTTGCTAAAATTGAATAAGAGGAAGTCTAAAAGTTTTAAGTAACCAGGAAGAACTTATCACCAGCCTTTTTTTTAATGAAAAAAAAAAGAGAGAGAGAGAAGAAAGGAAGAATGGCAATTTTTTATCTAAAAGTTTTAAGTAACCAGGAAGAACTTATCACCAGCCTTTTTTTTAATGAAAAAAAAAGAGAGAGAGAGAGAAGAAAGGAAGAATGGCAATTTTTTAAAAAAATAGTGTGTTCTAGAAAACACTGAATGAGAACAGAGAACACCAAAATTCCCATTCTGACACAACCATCTAACTCTGGCTTCTTGGGTAAGTCATTTCCCTCTCTTAGACCTTGCTTTTCTCACAGGTCACAGAAAAAACAAGTAATAGAAGCAGGATTTAAACATGTACTTCCTCCAAGGAGTAACATAGAAAGGCTTAGATAGTGTGTCCAGAGATAGGAATGTAGCTAGATAATTCTAGAAAAAGCAATTAAAGAAAGTTTAATTGGCTATTGCATTGATGAATTTTGAAAACTGTCAAAGTACTGCTTAGTTAATTTTGGCAATGGATTGCAAAACTGTAAATTGAGTGAGACTAGTATATTGTCTGTACACACCATTTAACAAGGTAGGTATTTCATAAAAATTTTGCTAATATTATAAGAAAATAATTGGATTATAAATATAGACCACACAGTTTCCTTAACACAGTCATTGTGGAGCTTAATGTTCACTGTTTTCTAACAAATTACTTTTAAAATGATTATATTGAGTTATCTTCTCTCGACTTGATTTTGATCTCTGCTCTATTGAAAATCCAATTTTCTTTTCATTTTTCCCTTCATTTCTGTGGAATTTTCCTTTATTCTTCATACTCTGTCACTTTCATTTAGACATTCAGACATTTTCTCTGGGCCTTTTATTCTCCTTGGTATTTTTCATTTTTCACTGCACTTTCTCAACATTAATCTCTACTGTCATTGCTAAGTACCATTAGGGTTTAGTCCAAGGGATATTATATCAAGACCTGTCCTTGCATAATAAAAGTAATAAAGGAGAAATAAGGGCTGTTCTAGGAAAACAGATTTCCCTTTGCTGTAAGTCTTGAATTTTTAAATATGCTATTCAAACACTGATCCACTTTCCTCAGTTATTCAATTATCCATATGTCACCAAAACCAAACAAGCCATCGGTTTGCTAACCTGAAGGCGAATCCTCTCTAAGAACTCCTGCAGAGTCTTGGGTTTTTCCCTTTTACTTCTTCGGTGTGCCTTTATTTTCCTGGGGGCTGCTTCCTCTTCTGAGATGACATCCACATAAATAAACTTGAAGTTTCCCACCTTATTGTTCAGCATTCCTGTCCACATCCCCATTGGTGTTTTGCAGATAATGTCTATGATGTCTCCTTTCTAAGGGCAAAGAATACAAATCAGATTTCAGGGAACTATGGTGCTATGAAAATTGGCAGAAAGAATGGAATCATAAGAAACTAGAATAATGAGAACATTATGCAAAAGGAGCATGGAGATAATGGAAATAAATTGAAGAAAACATTTCTTCCCAAATCTCAAGGAAATTATTTAGTAGTAATAATGAAGAAAACTTCAACATGCTTGAAGAAAAGCTCTCATATACATTTGAAGATGCAGTCATGTTTGTGTTATATCAACTTATCAACTTACATTTGTGGAGCACAATGTAATTTACGGAACACTTCTGCAAACACTAAGTTGTTTTATGCTCACAGCACATTTCTTAGGTACGTATACGAAGTATCTCATTATTTTAAATATTACAGAAAAAGTAGCAGGTATATTAAATGACTTCCCAAGAGCTTTCAGGAAGTTAATGGCAGAACTAGAACTCAGTCCAAGTTGTCTGAACTAAAAAAAATTATGCTATTTTCATTCATACTGTGAAAGCAATGTATATGTAGCAAACCTCAAGCCATCATTCCTGGAGGGGCTCCCTAACTGCAGAAGGAGAAAAGAAAGAAAAGTCTATGACTCTGTCTGTGCTTCTAGTTTATCTAAAAATTAATCTACAGTATAAAATAAACCTATCTAAAGTAGTTCATCCATCTAAAATAATGAAATTGTGCAAAACTCACCAAACATATAACAAAAGTATGTGTGCACTAAGGATAAATTATGCTACTTAATTTTTATGAAGGTACTAATGCTACCCCTCTTATTAAGAGCCTTATTTAGATTGAGCCTCACAACAAAGTTTTGATTGAAGTATGAATGAAGCACTTTGAGATGGATCACCAATTGGTCATTTTCTTCATTTACATCTAAGACCATAATTGGCTACAGGCTGCCAGTAATTGGAAAGAGTGGAAAACCCCATGGGGGTATTTCTTTGTTAAGAAAATTGATGCCTATTCAAATTCAGTGCTTACATTTTAGAGTCATAATTATTTCTTTGAGGCTTACAACTTTCTTTCCCAGGGAGGACGTTACAGATTTCTATATTTTTGCCTCTTTTAAGTGTCTACCCTCAAACAAACAAAGCATTAATTCTGCTACTAAAAATATTTTTCTACTGCCTTGTGAATACATGTTCTTCCATCTAAAACAGAAATTTTATTTGTAATGGTAGAATTCAGTGTAATTGAAAGATATAGCCTTTCTGACTTGTGATCATCTGCCTGTCTAGCCCTGTGAGCTGTTAGTCTAAGTCTTTCTGCCTTTGACTATAGAGAATCAAATTCTAGGTCAGATGGAATCAGCTAAGCAGACTGGGATACTGCTCAGAAGCTCTAGGAAGTTTCTGGACATGGCAGCCCTTTAGTGCATCCTTCCTATTGTCTTTAAATTTTTAAACTTGTAATTTGTATCCTTTAAACTTGTAAACTTGCGCATTTCAGGAAAGCCTACCTATCACCAAGCAAAGACTCAATTTAATTTTGGATAAGACCCTTGATGGAAACAATAGCATTTCAGTCCTCATTGGTTAACTGAGGGATTCTAACTGTGTCCTATAAGAGCTCCACAAAAATTGCTATAGACAGCACCACTGGTGGTGTACTGGCATTGTATTGTAGCAAAGTTGAAAAGCTCCCCTAAAGTCAAAATGTGTTGTGTTTATTCCTTTCTACTGCCCTCCCCCAACAATGGTTACTAGGCTACAAGCCTCCTTTCCCCACAACTTGAACTTAGACTTCAAATCATTTCATATAAATGACTAAGGAGCTAATTGTGGGGAACAATGCTTTTCTCATTTTCCTGCTTTGATTTGATAGCATAATTTAAGCTCTTTTAGCTATAGCATTTTGTGATACTAAAAAAAACCCCATAACATCTATAAAGTATTATCATAACATCTATAAAGTATTATCACAAAGCCTTCTTCTACTTGTGCTATTGTAACCAGCTCCTCCCCTTGAGTATGAGCAGGACTGTGAAAATGATGGATTTTACACTCGTGATTATGTTCCCTTATATGACAAAGGACTTTGCTGATATAATTAATACACCAAATCAGTTGATTTTGAGTTAATTAAAAGGGAGATTATATAGGTGGGTCTGACTTAATCAGGTGGGATTCCTTAAAAAGAAAGATACTGAAGCATGAGTAAATTTTTTTCCTGTTGGTCTTGAAGGAGCAAAACTGCCAGGGTATAGACAGGGCCATGACTGGTGGAATCCGGGGGCTGAGAACAGCCTCCAGTTGATATCCAGCCAGGAAACGGGGGCCTCAGTCCTACAACCGCAGGAAACCAAATTCTGCCAACAGCCAGTGAGCTTGAAAGAGGACCTGGAGCCTCAGGCAGGTGAGGATCACAGCCTGGCTGACACCTTGATTTCAGCCAGGTGAGACTTTAAGCAGAGAACTCAGTTGAGTTATGCCCACACTCATGACCTATCAAAACAATGAGTAAATACTACATTTGTCTTGTTTGAAGCATCTGAGTTGGGGGTAATTTGCTACATGGCAATAGAAAATGAATACAGAGGATAAGAGTAAGAAGAAGGAATTCAGGGGGGAATACCACTGGGAGAAAGATCTCTGGTTATTCATGGCAACCAACCTAAAAAGTACTGAAGTTGCCTGGCCAAGTCTGGTTCCCAAAGTCTTTGCTCTGCTGTGCTCTTGCCTGATATTTTCATCTTCTTCTTCTCCTTGGTTTCATTAGTTTTACTTCTGCAAGTATCCGGCTGAGCTGGGCACCCCCAGCCATGTGTGAAGCTTTTGGTTTTCAGAGAAAATGTAGGTAATTCCTTCCTCCCTGATAAACCCTGAACCTGTGCTATCCATATAACAGAAACTTATGCTAATAGCCTGAACAGACTGACCACTCTACCTCGCCTCACACGTTTACTTTAAATTCTTGCCATGGTGCACCAGTCCCCAATTCTACTGCTGGGAAGAACACACTCACAACCCCTTTCCCACTATTTGTACTTCCTGAAACAGGTCATACAACCAGCATTTGACAAACATTCAGAAGGCAGAAAGGATGTTCGCACACCTTGATTTTGAGGGAGTCAGTGTCATAGGGACTTGGTGTGAAATCAGTATGCACTCTAGCACGGCCACAGAATGGTCCTGAGTAGGGACCATCATCATCCAGTCGAAAGCTTTCCCGGTTACTTGTACCATCTGAATAGCTTTTTATTCCACCTGATGAAAACAGAGGTTAACAGTTCTTATGGAAGCCTTGTAACATTCTGAACCATCACAACCAAGCATTGATAATGCTAAAGCATTTGACGCCAGCCTCATGAGAGGACTCTAATTGACCCATCCTGATTTCTGCCTCCCAGTCACTCTCTGCCAGCGAGCTAGGTCCTCTGAGCCATTTCTGACCTTTCTCCTGCCAATATGGCCACTCTCCCCTCAACTACTAACCCATATACTCTCTCATTTCAGTCTCTGTGATATGATCCATTACACACTGTATTAAACATTGGACAGTTACTAAAGAGGAGGAAGGTATAGGTTTAACCTGTGAGAAAGCCAGAAACCAGTAACAATAGTTTGATCTTTGTGTGCTATTGATCACACACGGCCAAAGATGACATTACAAGTTTCCCTACAACTTATCTCAAATATAGCAAAAATTCTCCCACAGAGTTCCTATTGTGTACCAAAGTCCATTTTGGGGCAACATCCCTGTGCATGAAAGGGGACGTTTTTCTTGTTGTGTGAGTGTGAAGAAAGGAAGAAGTGTGCCCAAATGTCTGGACCCCACGTGGTTCTCAACTGGGCTTCTAAAATTACTCCAAATCTTTGTTTTTGATCTTGAATGTCAGGCCAAGAGAGAGAGAGAGAGATTCCATTTTGCTGCCTGTCTGCAGACAACAATGGCTCCCAGTGGAAGTAGCTCTCGGTTCCCCCATCCTCACTCACCACTTCACTTCTCCCTTCAGTCTGAACTTTTGGTACTCTGTTCAATAAGGGAATTACCATCCATTACAGAAATAAGGTAAAGATCCTTTGAGATGCTTCATGTTGTATATGAACTGATATAAAAGAAAGGTGAGTTGCATCTAATCACAGAGATTAAGTTGTATATGATAACCAGGTGGATGAGCCACCATTTCCTCACACCTTCCCTTCCATGAGTACCTCAGGTCCGGGCTTTTCATGGTACATTTTAATTAATAAAATTCTTCCCACATTCAGCATCACAATTTAGAATTTTAAAACTTCCAGCAGAAATGAATACTAATGAAATCTGAATTTCACACATGCAAAAATACATCCCTGAAATGTTTCTGCATTCACTTTTTTTTTTCTCAAAATAACTTCTACAGCCAATAGGAAAATAGAAATAAAAT